CACTTTTACAAAAATCTTCTCTGAAACCACAGGCCAATTTGAATAAAACTTGGCCAAAATCATCTTTAAGGTACTGTGGATTCATTTTTATTCGTGGTATACCAATTTTCGTTGGTTTCGTGGGTCACAGCGAACCACGAATTTAAGAATTCAACGAAGAATAATCCCGAGAAATGTGTATGGAGTTGGATGTTTATTTCCGGTTATGTTATGCAGTTCTAGTATAGTGTTGACTAGCGATAAACATTGTAACGTTAACATAACACGCGTTTTTAATGAAAGAAGATACAAGTATTTTGATTAAATCAATAATAAATATATCGAATATCAGTGATAATTTACTTTTTAAAATTGATTAAAACTGTTCATGGAAAATAACTGCAAGTTGTTAATTACCGTGTCATAGTGTGGTTTACTGGTGATTAAAAATCAATAGGATTAAGTACCGGGATATTGCCCGTAGGTTATATTGTTTATGACAGGAACATTTATTTTCACACCTTTTACTTATATGACTGTTTATTATATCGTGATTAGGGAAATGAGCTTTCAATCATAGAGTTTTGAATGCCTTATAAAATTCCGACAAGAATTTATAAATTGTAAAACAAACAAATAATTAGTTGTCTCTGTCCATTATTGTAATAGAAATTTTCAATGAACACTTTAACCTAGAATGACCAAGCAAGGATTTTGACAATTAAAAACTTTTTCAATGAATTCCTTCTTTTTTGTTTGTTTTATTATTGATCAAACTAAGGAGGTTATATGATCTCCTAAATCAAAAAGAAATCACCGAATTACGAATCTGAATTTATTTTTTTTTGGTAATCAGCGATCCACGAATTTACGTATACCACGAAACGTCTTTTTTTCTCTATCCACAAAAATTGATACCCACGAAAATAAATGAATCCACAGTATGTAGTTTAAATTGATGAGCTCACTTGCTAATCAACATTGCTGTCAAGGCTGATTTAAAAATAGAACATCAAGTAAAAAATGCAAATATGGGCTTTAATATTATAAACAGCTGAAGAAAGGCAAAAGATACCAAAGGGACATTCAAACTCATAGGTCGAAAATAAACTGACAACGCCATGGTTAAAAAGAAAAAGACCAACAGACAAACAATAGTACACAAAACACATCATAGAAAACTAAAGACTGAGCAACATGAGCCGCACCAAAAACTAGTGGGTAAAGATATTGAAAATCTGACAGGACAGAAATGTTTAGAATGACATGATCTTCCATCCATTCTGATTCAAACTGTCAGACCACTCCTTATAAGAGTTATTTCCCTAAAGGGCATACAATACAGTAGCAGGGCAGATAAAAACTACCTCAAGTTAAAACATGGTTTCTTGGATGTTGTGTCAATCCCACAGAGTTTCCCAGAAAACACAGACGTCATCACATCAGTTGCATGAATATGAAAGCAGTCCCAAAGCCTTTCAGTCGTATAGATGCTAACGTTTCTACCTGTTTATATGTCCCTTGCTTTCAAATGTTTGGGTTTGACCTTTCCTGATGTTAATTCCAGAAAAAAGCTTGGAACGCACAAAATGTATGATTAAAAATTATGAGGGTAAATTTTAATTTCCTACCCTAACTGTAATGCTACCTCATTTAACACCAATTAATGCCCTATTCTAACATACCATTAACTCATTTTCTGTAAATTTATTGTTTATAGAATAATATAATCATTAAAACAAGGGTTTCCTAACCTCAGGCAGAGATAGCCCATGTCAGATTTGGAACAATATGTAAAAAATTCTGTTTTTCGCTGCTCTTCATCATTGATATGGCCTTCTCATCGATTTTTATGCCCCCGCTAGTGGAGCGGGCATTAAGTTTTACCCTTGTCTGTCTGTACAGACGTACGTATGTCCCGAAATTGGTTTCCATTCTCTAACTTCAGTTTGCCTCAACTAAATGTTATGAAACTTATACACAATGCTTATTATCACAAAACACAGATCAAGTTTGAATTTTGGTGGTGTCACTTTTACCGTTCAAGAGTTATACCCCTTAACAAATGGAAAAATTGCTGAATTTTTCGTTTCCGTTCTCTAAAGTTTGCTTCAACCAAATGTTATGAAACTTATACACAATGCTAATTACCACAAAACACAGATCAAGTTTGAATTTTGGTGGAGTCACTTTTACCATTTCAGAGTTATGCCCCTTTACAAATGGAAAAATTGCTGATTTTTTATCATTTCCGTTCCTTAACTTAAGTTTGCCTCAACCAAATGAAACTTATACACAATGATTATTACCACAAAACACAGATCAAGTTTTAATTTTAGTGGCGTCACTTTCTAAAGTTAATAAGCCCCTTTAAAATGGAAAAATTGCTGAATTTTTCGTTTGCTTTCTCTTACTTTAGTTTACCTTTACCAAATGTTATGAATGTTGTACACAATGATAATTACCCAAAACACAGATCAAATTTGATTTTGGTGTCGCCACTTTTACCGTTATAGGTTGCACTTTGTAAATACAGCTGTTTCTCAAACCATGCCTCTTTTTGGGAGATATAGAATATTCATAGATCATTAATTTTGTTTACATACTGGTTCCCAGTTATGATCTCTATGTTTCATCTCATAGAGACATAATTTTGGAATGTTACCAGTAAATATACATATGCATATTGTTTATATTGCAAACTGTGGTAATCCTACAGTTAAGGTAGGGGTAGTTAAGAAATTTAGTGTTAGTTTAAACTCTTAGAAGTTCGGGGCATATAAAGGTTGAAAATATGCCGCACAGCCCTATATTTTGACCTTTAAAAAAAGTAGTAGTGCATATGAACTTTCCATTCTAGGATATGATTTTTTTCAAAACTTCATAGTAAAAGTGGTACAGTTTTAGCCGTAAAAGGAGTTCCTATGGGAAATTGCATTGTAAATATTTACAGAAATGCAACCTATATTTGGTGAAAAAAGAGAACATGCAGAATTTAACCAAATTTGGTTTATCTCACAGATTTTAATGAAATCAACTCAAATATGAAGTTTTATAAATGTTTCATGAAGATTGAGAAAATCCTGGGCGTTAACTATGATGACTCAGCATAAATTCACAGTTTACAGTATGCATAGTTTACTAAAAGCCCTAAATGCAAAATAAATTCATAATATATGCATATTTGTGAGTTAAATTGTTTAGAAGTGCTTTTATTTACTCTTCGCAGTCATTGAAGCTCATAGATCCTTCCTGAATATTATTCAGGTGGGGTGTTTTTGTCCTGTCGATAACCCAAAAGTAAGCCGTAACACCTAAATCTGCTTTTTTGTCACCGCGACATAAAAAATACAAGCTAGAAATACAAAAATATCTCAACAAAACTTACAATTAATAGTGTGTCCTATCCTAAATATGTACTAAATATTCCATATTGCTAGAAACAGCAGAATAATTTAGGAAATTTGAGGCCCCAGGGGCAAAAACAGAGAAAATTGCCTACCCCCTGGGTCATAAAACAAATAATATAACTTGTAAATGCTATGATTTTATAGTTTCAAAGGTCTTTATATAGAAAACAATCACTGTGCTTGGAAGTTATACAAAAATCAGATGTTAGCAGTCATTTCTATAAAATTTTAAGTGAATTTGTACATCAGACTGGTATCTGCATACATATAACTATTGCAAATATGGCTTTGTTTTAACACTTCTAGTTCATATGTTAGTTAAATTATGTCAGATATACGGTTAGAGATGATACTGTTGTGACAAAAATTTTAAACTGACCATGCATTTGAGGCAGAAATTGTGAACTTTCATTGACAAATAGGCATACAGTAAGATGTGGACTGGAGACAGAGGCAGGATTGGATACTTTATATAATCTTGAATGTTGGAATGATTGACTGCTAAACATTACATTTACAGTATTCTGAAATGCTTTCAATTTGTTATCAGAACAGTTTTAAACAGGTTCTAGGCATTTCATGTCAGAAAACATGCAAATAGGGTAAGCTGGCAATAATTAAAGTATTGTTTTCAAATTCTTTAAAAAACTGAAACAGGGGAGGGGGTATAAAATGTACAGTAAAAGAAAACTTAGAGTATATGCAGTGATTTCTTTGAGGCTATAATTCTGATAAATAAGTATTAATTTGAGAAAAAGTGATTTTAGAGAATTTTCTATTTGAATAAATGTCTGTATAGGTTGCACTTTGTAAATACAGCTGTTTCTCAAACCACGCCTCTTTTGGGGAGATATAGAATATTCATAGATAATTAATTTTGTTTACATACTGGTTCCCAGTTATGATCTCTATGTTTCATCTCATAGAGACATAACTTGATAATGTTACCAGTAAATAAACATATGCATATTGTTTATATTGCAAACTGTGGTAATCCTACTGTTCAGGTAGGGGTAGTTAAGAAATTTAGTGTTAGTTTAAACTCTTAGAAGTTCGGGGCATATAAAGGTTGAAAATATGCCGCACAGCCCTATATTTTGATCTTTAAAAAAAGTAGTAGTGCATATGAACTTTCCATTCTAGGATATGATTTTTTTCAAAACTTCATAGTAAAAGTGGTACGGTTTTAGCCGTAAAAGGAGTTCCTATGGGAAATTGCATTGTCAATATTTACAGAAATGCAACCTCTAGAGTTATGCCCCTTTACAAATGGAAAAAATGCTGAATTTTTCATTTCTGTTCTCTAACTTTAGTTTGCCTCAACCAAATGTTATGAAACTTATAAACAATGCTTATTACCACAAAACTCAAATCAAGTATGAATTTTGGTAGCGTCACTTTTATTGTTCTTGAGTTATGTCCCTTTATAACTTTATATGCAAGCGGGGGCATCATCTGTGTCCCATGGATACATTCCCCATTATTAATTGTTTCTGGTGAGTCTTTAGTTACTAAACATGTGTCTGGCATGAGGATTTCTTATAATTAATTTTATAAATGCAATTTCCCTCATGTAATAGACCATATGATCAAAATTTTATTAAGTTTCAGAAAAAGAAGAACATTCAAATCTTAAAGAGAAAATAAAGAAAATAGAAACTGAACAGAAAAAAGTAATTCCAAAAAATATTACAGGTATATTATTAGTTCATGTATATTTTTATTTTTTTTTAAACTCGACAACAAAAATGACTGCACCCCTGCAATCTCTGGGCATGCTTTGCAGCTATGTATGATTAATCTTTGGTCAGTTTATAAGCTTTCATCTGTAGACTAATTTGACATAAGCTGATAATTGCTTTGCTTTAAGCAATTGTAGGACACAAGGATGATATAACATGGACAATACAATACACAACTTTATCAATGTTAAATTCTGTTGTCATAGTTCAGGGTTATGCAATCCATATTTTATAGAATTTGACCTGTCCTAGGATGGGAATCATGCTCCACTTGTCTTTCTGTGTTGTTTTTTTTTGTGAATCAGTGAAACAATTGTAATCAGCGCATGCAGGTACTTTGGATAGACTGTATAAGTGATGTATGATAAATTTACATGAACCAAATTTCCTAGTTAAGTTCAAGAAATTTATTATAATGCAGGGTCTTCCAGTATTCAAAAGTTCCATTGGTCCGACACCCCATTAGTCACGTAAAACAAATTGTGTAATAAATAAAAATTTCTTCATACTTGTCACATGAATTGTTCTCTTATACTGATAGAAATAAGATGACACTAATTGGTATATGTGATCCTTGTACTGAGGAGCTGTGTTGGCTTAGTGGTCTAAGTAGTCCAACTACTGTATCACTAGCCTCACAATACTAATAAACTGAGTTCATTTGTCAATGGAAATTATAATGGTTAGGTCTGTGTCTCAGTTGCTTATGATAAGCAGAAGGTCAACTACATTTGTGTATGAAATAGAAGTTGTGCATATTTGTCTTGCAGGATTTATCTGACTGACCTTGACCTCAGTTACATGGATTATTGATAATGTTGAGTTTCTTCTTCTGCCCGGTTACGATTCAAACTCTATAGTTGAGTGTAATTGACTCGGGCGCATCTCAAAAAGACAGGAGGCCACTCCTCTGGTCAAAAGTAAAAGTCCAGGGAAAACTGGATGGTATTTACAATAAAATAATAAGCTTAATTACAACTATATACACTGGTTATTTTGCTGTGTTTTTCAGATGTGGCTGGGTCTAGGAGATGGTATTCACTCTGGCCCTGAAGTCCTCTAGTGATCCGGACTCCACTACAGATTCGGGAAGTTTATTCCACTCTCTAGTTGTTCTTTGGAAGAATGAGTGATAGTAGACATCCTTCTTCACTCTAATTTATCAAAATTTGTGGTTGCCCCTGTCCTACTGTCACCTGATGTGTAATATTTGGCTGGATCAATGGCAATCAACTGGTGTTGAGTCTTGTAACACAGCACAAGACTCTGTTTCCATCGTCTGTGCTGCAGTGATTCCATTTGAAGTTAGTCCAGTAACTTTGTAACACATCCAGTAGAGTTGTCCTGGTAGCAAGTTTATTTGATACTTGTAGTAAACCCTCATCTTAAAGGCTTTTAGGATAAGTTCAATCATGATAAGTACTGACCTTGACCTCATTTACATGAATTTTTAGCTCTCCGGGGCCCGAAGAGCCCTATGTGAGCTTATGCCATCACTTGGCGTCCGTCGTCGTCCGTCGTCTGTCTGTCGCCTGTCGTCGTCTGTCATCGTAAACTATTTCAAAAATCTTCTCCTCTGAAACTACTGGGCCAAATACCTTCAAACTTTAACTAAATGTTCCTTATGGTATCTAGTTTATAAATTGTATCCGAAGTTTTGATCCATCGACAAACATGGCTGCCATGGCTAAAAATAGAACGTAGGGGTCAAATGCAGTTTTTGGCTTATATCTCAAAAACTAAAGCTTTTAGAGCAAATCTGACAAGGGATAAAATTGTTCAATTGGTCAAGTTCTATCAGCTCTGAAATTTTCAGACGAATCGAACAACCCATTGTTGGGTTGCTGCCACGGAATTGGTAGTTTTAACAAAATTTTGCAGTTTTTTGTTATTATTTTGAATATTATTATAGATATATATAAACTGTAAGCAGCAATAATGTTCAGCAAAGTAAGATCTACAAAAAAGTTAAATGACCATAATTGTCAATTTACCCCTTAAAGACAATTTTACACAATTTGTTCATCAAGTTTGCTAACATTTAAAAATCTTCTCCTCTGAAATACAGGTGAGCGATTCAGGCTCTTGAGAACTTCTTGTTTATAATGTTACGTTTATGTGATACTTGTAATATAACCTCTTCTTAAAGGCTTTCAGGATAAATTCAATCATGATAAGTAAAGCAGGTAAAAAAAAAAATCAGCCTTAACAATCTTGTTCCTATATACAGGTCATAGTTTTGTTTTCTATACAGAGTTCAGGTACATGTACCCTCACCATACTCATGCAAATAGGCATGCACACTCAGATTTCAGTAGGCCAATAATACAATTATTTTTTTTTACATTGACTTATGAAACTTGGTATGAAGTTGTTTAACCTAATAACGGTGTCATGTATTGGCATGACCTTTATTTGACCTTACCCTTTGACATAAGGGTCAAATTATCTGATTTTTGAGAATATTTTCTTGTCTGGTTTATCATATTTAGTATGTTTTCACCACCAAGACAATGTGCATACCATGACCTTTGACCTTGACTGGTCAGGCAATTAATTAATGAAACCCCAAAACCATGTATTTTATGTTATATTAAATGATTTTACAATTACTTATATTTTTATTGAAATGTTTGGTGGTTAACCAAGGCAATCTGTTGTTGTCTTGCTAATAATTATATATTTTCAGGGATATTTTCAATTTATGTTTTACGAAAACAAGCAGATGTGTTATGTTGGCAAATGAGCCAACTATCCACTGAAGGACAAGCACTTAATCAGTTACAGGTCACCATCCAGTCTTCAACAATGAGTTCAACATATACTGTTAACATGGTGAAGTCAGATATTGAAAGGCCTGAGATCACAAAATGTGAGGTAACATACACCAAATACTTAATCCACTATTATGTTTGTTGCAAATGATAGTGCATAATTCAAGTAAATAGTCATTTTTTTTAATTTTAAATTAGCTTCACTTTATATTTTTCAGATCAGATACAAAGACAAATAAAAGACTGGGAGGAGAAAGATAAGATGTTCGTGTCTACCAGAGCCAGTGATTACGTCATGGAATGTTTACAGGACAACAGTTGCTTGACATTAACTGCCCCATCGGGAGTTGGAAAATCATTTATTGCAAGACACACAGCACTTCTGTTAAAGAAGGAAGGATACAATATAATACCAGTGTACTCACCAACAGACATAAGAGATTATTATCAGCCTGGTAAACAGACAGTCTTCATTGTAGATGATATTTGTGGAAATTTCAGTGCCAACCAACAACAGATTGATAACTGGAAACAACTGCTACCTGTGATAAACACAATTATTGCAGACAAATGTTGTAAGATAATTGTATCGTGTAGGTTACAAGTCTATAAAGATGAAAAGTTTGGTATATTATCACCTTTTAAATCTTGTGAATGTAACTTAATATCAGATAAGTTATGTCTTACATATGTGGAGAAAACAAATATAGCAAAGGCCTATATTGGCACAAGCATGAAAGATATTCATGATTTATCACAAAACTGTGATTTTTTTCCACTATTGTGTAGTTTATATCATGAAAAAAAAGATGTAGATGTAAAAGAATTTTTCAAAAATCCTTTTGCTGTCTATAAAAATGAGCTAGACAGGTTAAGTAAGCATGGTGATGAAGAGAAATATAAAATATGTAGTCTTGCTTTATGTGTTCTCTTTAATAATCACCTTGACGAAAAATGGTTCTTGGATAAAGTTACAAAGAGGCAAAAACAGATCATAAAAGACACATATAATGCTTGTGGATTGGACAGAGGAATATCCAAGGTAAAACTGCAACATGCCCTTGACACCCTAGACGGTACATTTATCTGTAAACAGAATGGTATTTATAGAACTATACATGATAAAGTATTTGACTTTCTTGCTCATTATTTTGGTCAGAAAATGATTGAATGTTTAATAGACCATGGTGATAGTGGTTTAGTACATGAACGTTTCATCTGGCAGAAGTCACCAGATGACATGGCCAGTTACATAGACTTCATTATTGAAATACCAGATGATTATTTAGAATCATATTTAAAAAGGTTTATAAAAGACTGGTCTGTAGGAAATGTGTCAGATGTATTCAGTAATAATAATATTAAGGACTCATCATTCAGACAAAAGTTATTACAGTACTTACAACAACTACATAAACTACAACAAGTAACATTAGCCAACACCAAGGATACAGTGAGACCAAAGGAGGACTGTGGATCAGGAAATACTCCACTGATATGGACTTGTTATGATGGTTATACTGATATGGTACAGTGGATGTTACATAATGATGCGGATGTGGATCAGTGTAGAGATGATGGAGTTACTGGACTGAACATGGCAAGTCAGGAAGGACATACTGATGTAGTAAAGTTACTGTTAGAGAGGAATCCTAATGTTGATCTATGTGACAAGGATGGCTGTAGTCCTCTGTACATGGCAAGTCAGAATGGACATACTGATATAGTAAAGTTACTGTTAGAGAGGAATCCTAATGTTGATCTATGTGACAAGGATGGCTGTAGTCCTCTGCACATGGCAAGTCAGAATGGACATACTGATGTAGTAAAGTTACTGTTAGAGAGGAATCCTAATGTTAATCTATGTAACAAGGATGGCTGTAGTCCTCTGTACATGGCAAGTCAGAATGGACATACTGATATAGTAAAGTTACTGTTAGAGAGGAATCCTAATGTTGATCTATGTGACAAGGATGGCTGTAGTCCTCTGAACATGGCAAGTCAGGAAGGACATACTGATGTAGTAAAGTTACTGTTAGAGAGGAATCCTAATGTTGATCTATGTAACAAGGATGGCTGTAGTCCTCTGAACATGGCAAGTCAGGAAGGACATACTGATGTAGTAAAGTTACTGTTAGAGAGGAATCCTAATGTTGATCTATGTAACAATGAAGACTGTAGTCCTCTGTTACAGGCAAGTTATAAGGGAAATACTGATATAGTAAAGTTACTGTTAGAGAGGAATTCTAATGTTGATCTATGTAACAATGAAGACTGTAGTCCTCTGTACATGGCAAGTCAGAATGGACATACTGATATAGTAAAGTTACTGTTAGAGAGGAATCCTAATGTTGATCTATGTAACAAGAATGTCATTAGTCCTCTGTACATGGCAAGTCAGAATGGACATACTGATATAGGAAAGTTACTGTTAGAGAGGAATCCTAATGTTGATCTATGTAACAAGAATGTCATTAGTCCTCTGTGCAAGGCAAGTAATAACGGAAATACTGATATAGTAAAGTTACTGTTAGAGAAGGATCCTAATGTTGATCTATGTGACAATTATGGCTGTAGTCCTCTCTACCGGGCAAGTCAGAATGGACATACTGATATAGGAAAGTTACTGTTAGAGAGGAATCCTAATGTTGATCTATGTAACAATAATGACTGTAGTCCTCTGTACATCGCAAGTCAGAATGGACATACTGATATAGTAAAGTTACTGTTAGAGAGGAATCCTAATGTTGATCTATGTGACAATAATGGTGATCAGGTCTTGTATTAATAACCACACCAGTATAGTCCAATTATTAGTTAAACATAAACCAAACATTAATACCAAAACAATGTTTGGTAATAATGCCATATATTACAGTGTACAGAATGGAAGCGTAGATATAACAAAGTTACTGTTAGAGAACAATGCTGACTGTAATATATGTATCCATAGTAAACAAGATTTAACAGATACATTTACTAACCATCCAAAGTACACATTAGATCAAGTAAAACAAGAATTATTTAATAACCTTGTAATTAATACTCCATCCCATGGAGCAGCCTATATCAGAAAGAATTCAGTAGAGTATGCCTTTGATGTAGTAGCTGGTTCTTCTCCATTACACATTGACTGTTTTAAGGGTATAGCATAGATGTAGTCCGTTGTCTTCTGAATCACAATGCTAACATCAACATGACAAAAGAAGATGGAACAACACCATTATTTTATGCGAGTGAAATAGGACATGAGGATATTGTACGTTTATTATTAGATAAAGGTGCAGATACACAGATATGTAGACTTGATGGGAAATCCCCTTTAAACAAGGAATTATTTGAATCTGGAATAATTATGAATTCTGGAAAATTGATTAGAAATGTATGATGAAAACTAACCCAACTAAATAGGGTTAGCCATGCGCGCATGGCTAATGTTAATTTTAATTTCACTATCATTTCAGTATGAACTAGCTAACCCCCCTTAGCCATGCACGCATGGCTAACCCTATTTAGTTGGGTTGGTTTTCATCATAAATTACTCATCAATTTTCCAGAATTCAAAATTATTCCAGATCCAAATAATTCCTTGTTTTTACAGATTTCTACAGATAATGGACATACTTCTATAGTAATGATATTAACCAATCACACAAAGAAGGAGGACAAAGTTTTTTCTTAACTCTTGTTCTTTAGTCAGTGGTTCTTTATGACATGTGAAAAAACATGCAAGGGATGTTGAAATGTTTCCTTCTAAACTCTTGTTAATTGACAATTAATAGTGTTTGCAAAATCAAATACATAATAAAATGTGGCTGGAACATGCTCTCTTGCTTAAACCACATGCTAACTAAAACCCGGATGAAGTAACAATGGGGCAAATCTAGTACAAGGCGTTATCAATTAGGTACAATGAGAGTTGCCTTCCATTGTACGCCTTTAGTCAGTGGTTTGTAATACATGTAAAAGCATGCAGCAGACAAGACGAAAAACCTTCTTTTGTTATTTTCTTGTTGATTGTGTTTGTTTAATATGTTTGATATCTACTGCTATTCATTCCCTTACTTTCTCTTCCTTCTTCACATTACATGAATATTTCTTAATTTTATGACCAGGAATAAAAGAAACATTTTAGATTTAGATGCAGTAAAAGCATTTTGTTGATGCCAATGAATAAAACTGTAGACATTGTAATTCTATCATCACTTAGTTGTTTTTCATTTACTTCATTGTAATGTGATGAGTCAGGTCAGTGTTTGTCTTATTTGATTTTCAATTTAAATGTTCAATATTTTACTGATTGTATATATATGATTTCTCTAATTCTTCGTCAATTTATCCCTTTCTGCACCCGTTGTATAAAAAAAAAAAAATCAATGTGTGGTTCATTTGATCTCAGTTCTTCATTGGTTAAAATCCGATTATGACATCGAATTTTCTTGCTTTCCTCTGAATTTCCTATTGTGACGGCATGAAAAAAGGCGACCATGCCTGATGACGTCACATAGAAAGAACACATCTTTTTGCAGATCATTCGAAAAGAGGGAATAAATTTGCCTGTGTATTGTTTGAAAATCATTAGAGAAATGGATTCCACCACAAAATTTCGTGTAATACGATATTTATCCACTCTCGACAGTTAAATTTTAAATATTTAAAACGCTCGGCGAGCCTCGCGTTTTAAATTTGAAAATTTAACTGTCTCGAGTGGATAAATATCGTATCACACTCGATGCAGTGGTAGAATCTATATATACCTTTTATATACTGTATACATATATAGACTTCCATTTTTATACGACCACAAAAAAATTTTGAGGTCGTATATTGGTATGACGTTGGCGGCGTCGGCGTCGTCGTCCGGCGTCGTCGTCCGAATACACAATGGTTTTCGCACTCTAACTTTAGTTTAAGTGAATGGATCTCTATGAAATTTTACCATAAGGTTCAATACCACAATAGGAAGGTGGGGATTGATTTTGGGGGTTATGGTACCAACAGTTAAGGAATTAGGGGCCAAAAAGGGGCCGAAAATAAGCATTTTTGTAACTTCCAGACATGACTTGTGTGTTAGCATATGGATCTCTTTGACATTGTACCACAAGATTCCATATCACAAAGGGTCAATGCTGGGATTGATTTTGGGGTTAATTGCCTCAAAATTTTAGGAATAAGGGGCCAAAAGGGGGCAAAAAACAAGCATTTTCTAGTTTCATGACAATAACTTGTGTGTAAGTGTATGGATCTTTCTGAAATTTTACTACAAGGTTCCATTTCACAAAGGGAAAGCTGGAATTGAGTGTTGTGGTAATTGCCCAAAACGTTTAGTAATAAGGGGCCTAAAAAGGGGTTTAAAATAAGCATTTTTTAGTTTCTAGACAATAACTTGTGTTCAAGTGTATGGATCTCTCTAAAATTGTATTACAAGGTACCATACCACAAAGGCAAGGCTGTTATTGAGCTTGGTTTGGGGGGAAAGGGGGGTGGGGGTGATGAATCATAAGGGGGCGGGGGTCAAAAAAGGGGTAATTTTTTTTTTCCTTTTTTTTTTGTTTAAAATTTACATTTTAAGTTAGTTATTTTTTATCACGAAGAGAAAGTAGGAATTGAGTTTTGGGGTTAATTGCTCAAACATTTATGAATAAGGGGCCAAATATTGGTCAAAAATAAGGATTTTTTTAGTTTGCAACAAAAACTTGTGTTCAAGTGTATGGATCTCTGTAAAATTGTATTGCAATGTACCATACCACAAATTGAAGGTTGTGATTGAGGTGGGGGATGATGAATCAAAAGGGGGTTGAAAAAATGTGTGGGAGGTAGGATTTTTTTTTTTCCTTTTTTTTTCTTTAAAATTTTCCATGTAAAGATGGTTGTTTCAGATTTATATATGAAAGAAAATAATAATGATACGGTTATATATCATGAGGAATTGAAATTTAAAATTATGTATATTGGAAATTTAGGTTACATTGGAAAGTAATAATTGGCTTTGAGGGGGGGGAGGGGGGGGGTTATGGCTCTAATGTTTAAGGAATAAGGGGAAAAAAGGTTAAAAAACAAGGGTTTCCATTTTAATAGACAAATAATTGAGTAAAGAACATTATTTAAAAGCAGTGTAAGGTTGGTAATTCAAACTCATTTAAATATCTCATCTACACTGCTTTTAAATTATGTAAATTGGAAATTTGCCAATAACTTTATTGTTAATAAATGCATTGGAAATTTGCCAACAATTTTAGTGTAATAAACTTCATTGGAAATTTGCCAATATAAAATTTTGCTGATGAAGGTTTTTTGTTTACCTTTAGCCTTGACTATGAAGTCATTTTCTATTTTTATAGCCTTATGATGTAGTTGAATTATTTAATACTTTTATGATGTGTTTAAATGGGGTTTTATCATGTTTATGGTTGCAAATTTATTGTTTTAGTATAATAAACTCCATTTAAAATTTGCCAATAAAAAAATTTTTGTTTATTTTTAGCTATGATTATGATGTCATTTTCTATTTTACTTTTATGGTTGCAAAGAAATTTTTATTTTTAGATATTACTGTTAAATGATGCTGATTAAGGTTTTTGCTATGTTTAGCCATGACTATGATGTCATTTTCTATTTTAATATCTGTTATGATGTATTTAAATGGGCTTTTATGGTTGCAAAGGAATTTTATTTTTAGATATTACTATAAAATGTTGCTGATGCTGATTAAGGATTTTGTTTATTTTTAGCCATGACTATGATGTCATTTTCTATTTTAATACCTTTATGATGTAATTTCCATTTTTAGATATTACTGTTAAATGATGCTGATTAAGGGTTTTTAGCTATGTTTAGCCATGACTATGATGTCATTTTCTATTTTAATATCTTTATGATGTATTTAAATGGGCTTTTATGGTTACAAAGGAATTTTATTTTTAGATATTACTTTAAATGTTGCTGATTAAGGATTTTTGTTTATTTTTAGCCATGACTATGATGTCACTTTCTATTTTAATACCTTTATGATGTATTTAAATGGGCTCCCATGTATTTAGATTTTTGATTATTTATACATGTTACCAAATTGGTCCACATTGAACAAAAACGGTCCAAATTTCAACTTTATTACATTACATCAAACATTGAATTCTACATATTCTTTGATATATTGAAATTAACAAACAATTTAGTTTATGGATATTCCACCATAAAAGGTAAATTAAATTTTTTCCAGTTCTTACACCACATTCATCCTGTGTCAGAAACCTATGCTGTGTCAAATATTTAATGACAATCCAAAGTCATAGCTGTATCAAGCTTGAATTTTGTGTCCATACTTGCCCCAACTGTTCAGGGTTCGACCTCTGCGGTCGTATCAAGCTGCGCCCCAGCGAAGCATTTTATATGTGTATTGCTATCATGTTGGTTACTGATTGTATGGCAAACTTTATATACTGTAAACAAATATGGACTACCATTTTATTTTTATTGCTATGTTGGTTCATATTTTCTATTGTGTATGTATTCCTTTATATATTTTGGCTTACATGACAAACACCTATATTTTTTGTTTGGTTTTGTTTTGATGTTGTTGGGGTACTGTCTAATTGTAAGACATGTTGTACTTAATAGAACTAATTAAATTGACACGTAATAACAATATGTTCCACCGAAAATACAGTTAACTATCCAGTCTTTAGATGCAGGAAAGATGTGACACAAAATGTTTATTTGGTTTTGTTGTGATGTTGGGGTTCTGTCTAATTTCAAGATATATATGTTGTATTTAATAAAACTTATTGAATTGACACATAATAACCATATGTTCCACCGAAAATACAATTATCTATCCAGTCTTTACAGGAAAGATTCTTATCATGCTACCAAATATATATTGTATCTCAGCAGGTCTGAAAGGCCTTGTGAGATATGTCATCACTTAGGGTCCAGTGTCTGTTTTCCTATCCAAGTCTGTTGACACACCAGCTAAAAAAATTTTAAAAGACGTATGGCCAACATTTACGATATATATACAATAGGAGAAAAATTTCTGTTTCGAATATATCATCTGTAGATAAATGTCTTGCCCATTTTAACTGATATCTTTATAGGGGCATTAGCTGTCAAATTCATGTTCACCGGTTTGACTCAAATTCTCATGTTTGATTTATAACATCCTAAAACGTATATCCAAATAATAAAAAGTCTAAAATAAACAATTTACGATGCACGAACTCGATTAATGTATCAGCATTTCGTGTGTATTTTTGTCTAGACGCCATCTAATTTACCATCGAAGTGACCTCCGAAGACTGCCCATGATCATATAACCCGATATCAACATAAACAGAGATATAAATAGATAGCGAACTCGTGGAGTTGAATTTTTCTAGGTCTGTTTGATTTCATATTATAGGTTTAAAAAATATGTTAATGATCGTATTTACCTGTATAACAGTCAGCTTTTGTAGATCGAATCAGTCAACCAAATGGTTAACCCTTGTTTCACTTCCAATGTTGACATTCTTTTCTTTTTAATAGCTGTACATGCTAGTTCATATGTAACCCATCTCTAGCTAAGGGGTTCAATTGAAGTTCACATGAATACGGATTTAATGAGGTCGAATTATTTACTTGCAAGTGAATAAATTTAACGATGTTTCTTTGCTTATTTTGCACAACTGAACCAAACTGGCTGCTTAAAGCGAATTATTATATCACTATTCCATTTCATTAATGATTGAACAAAAAAAATCATACTTTAGTTTTTTTCTATATCTCGTAGCTAATACCCCTTTAATAGATATATATTTTCATAAGATTGGGTTGAATATTTGATTCTTTTTTCAAATGTAACTTTGAGTCTTTATATTAGTGAAATAGAACTGACAATGATTTTTGTTTTATATTTTATGACCAGCTGGATTTTAACATGATTGACATTCTCAGTAAGGACCTTGCACAAATGTGAACAAAAAAATGAGTAAAGCAGGAAAGAAATTTCAATGTGTGCACTCTAGAGATCTTGTTTGAGATTTTCAATGTGTGCACTCTTGTTTGAGATTCTATTTATCTCTCATTAAAATATAAAATAATTGAATGACTCCTGAGTATGACCACCTTGTTTTTTTTTAGTATGACTTATATTTGTTTCGTCATTCTTTATAACATAGTAGAGTAAAGCATCAATAGGAAATGAGTTTTCAGCATGACAGCT